ATGTTCGTCAAAGACACTAATGTGCTGCACTTCTTTTCAAGGCTGTTCAAGAGAACATGAGGGAAAACCAAGCATCTCAGATCAAACAGCCAACCATTGGTTCTGAAGAAATCGACTTCAAGATCAAGAAAGACATGATTCCAACAAGCAGTCATGAGTTTCAAATGTCACAATTGTTGTAGAGCGTTTTTAATTGAATCGAATACTGTGTAAAATGTTTTCAATCCTAAAAAGGGTATAGGAGCTAGACTTGCCTGGAGGGTTAACCTTAAAATTACAATAGGTTGCATCAGATTTCCCTTCCTCTGACCATTTAGGATCAAAGCAGTTTCCATAGAATAAAGCTTTTCGTTTTCCAGTTTATAGATATGTAGAAAAGCCATCTTTTATGTTACTAGTTTTGTCATAACCTAGGTAAACATCAGTTTCTGGTTAAATTACAGTTTTGGTCGAATTTTAGATTGCGTTACATTTATTGCGAAGGTATAATATGCGACTGTGTTATTATTGTCATTGCGGATATCATAATTTAGGACGGTATTGTTATTGTTATTTAAATCCGTAATCACGACAGAGGATTTGTTCTACTGCTGTACTGCATGAATAGAAAAAGGATGACGGAGATATACGAGAACCTTATCTCGTAGACAAATAAAAATAGAATATTCTAAAACCAATACGGCGATTTCCTCGAATAGGACAAGGGTGCCACTTTCCTAACACAAAATCATCAACTTAACAAGGATAAAACAGTCATTTTGAAAAAATAGACCCTTGATTGATGGATGGAGTGAAGACAAAGAAACAACAAAGATCAATTATTTTCTCTTCGGTTCAGTGTTTCAGAAGGGAAAGTGATTCTGTAAAGGAAAAATGGAAATGAAAACAAAAACAATGATTTCTACGATACTAATAAGTGTTCTTCTGTCAATCTTATTACCTGTTAGGACTGATTACGTTAGACCTCAGCCTCGTAAAACCTTGCATTTCCCATGGAACCCAAAGCACCCTTCTGTGCCTCAGCAGGTAACTTTCTAAATTTTATCTGCAATAGTTTAGTTTCTATGTTGTTAATGGTTTTTGTTGGTCAGAGTCAATATTTTTATTTATTTTTCTTGATCTGGGTCTTTCTTGATTTTTTGCTTACCTGGGTTCATTTTTTTGAAAGAAAAAATCTTTACGTATAGATGTTTGTGTTTGAGTGGGGATTTGTGATTATTTTTATGTTTGTAGAAATGGATTTACCTTACAGTAGCTTGAATTTTGATCGTTTTGTTTTGTCTGTTTTACTGCCAAATTTATTTTATGGATGTTCTATTTCTGCTGCCTCTGAAACTTAAAATTTAAGCTGATGGATTTGGTTGTTTCTGGATTTGATTGGACATGCATGGTAAATTTGTAAATTTAAGGAATCTATCATGATAGGTATCTGTGATTATGGTTCGGAGCTTTCCCTCATTTTTTTTTGAAATATTATTTAAAACTGAGGAATGCCGGTGTAAGGTATTACTACTACACATTCATGGATCAAACCAAAGTTTATTCCTTCCTAAAGAGCAAAACGAATGATTTGTTCGAAATCATAATAAATACATGCATCATAACTGTGATCAATCTTATTTGTACAGCAAGATTTGCTTATCGGAACTACTGACTTACTATCGTCTTTTTGTGTGAAATGAAGGTTGGAATTCACCAATGAAGAGAAAATGAATACCTGTGTTCACTGTTTAACTGTATTTTTAATATTAGTAGATACTGTTGTCTTTGTATGGACAATTTTTTTTCTTTTGACGGTTTAACTTGTCTTCCAGTTGATTCCACCGAGACCTTCATGTTGCGATTTAGTTGAAATGCGTTGTGCTTAACAAATATGTTTTGCAGGTACATGTGTCATTGGCAGGAGAAAACCACATTAGAATCTCATGGGTCACTGATGATAAATCTGCTCCTTCAATTGTTGAATATGGAATGTCACCTGGACAATACAACTTTTTGTCTCAAGGAGAGACCACCTCTTATAAATACCTATTTTATAGGTCTGGAAAGATACACCACACTGTCATTGGGCCTCTGGAGCATGATACTGTTTATTTCTATCGTTGTGGAGGACAGGGTCCTGAATTTCAGTTCAAGACCCCTCCCGGACAATTTCCTGTTACTTTTGCTGTGGCTGGGGATTTAGGTCAAACTGGCTGGACTAAATCAACATTAAACCACATCGAAAAGTGCAAATATGATGTACATCTGCTTCCCGGAGACCTTTCGTATGCTGATTGCATGCAACATCGCTGGGACACCTTTGGTGAGCTGGTACAGCCACTCGCAAGTGCCAGACCATGGATGGTAACACAAGGCAACCACGAAAAGGAGAAGATACCCTTTTTCACAGATGCATTTGCGTCCTATAATGCAAGATGGAAAATGCCTTTTGAGGAAAGCAAATCAACCTCGAATCTTTATTATTCTTTTGAAGTTGCAGGGGTCCATGTTGTCATGCTTGGTTCATATACGGATTACGATGAGCTTTCGGATCAATATAGCTGGTTAAAGGTAGGTTTTTTCCTTTCCTCTAATGGTTGAAGATCAATATAGTGTGCAACTCTATTACGAGTATGATGAAATCTCCAGTTGTGTATTTCATCAACAAGATTCTTGCCTCCTTAAATCTGCAGGCTGATCTTTCAAAGGTGGACCGAAAAAAGACACCTTGGTTAGTTGTGTTGTTCCATGTTCCTTGGTACAATAGTAACCATGCTCATCAAGGTGAAGGGGATGGGATGATGATGGCCATGGAACCACTGTTTTATGCCGCTGGCGTTGATTTAGTACTCACTGGTCATGTGCATGCTTACGAGAGATCCGTATGTCAATACTACCTAATCTCTGTTTTTTATTCTTGTATCATAGTATCATACTTTTATTAGATGGATATATGATGTCTCGTTCTCTACTTGACAGAAACGTGTTAACAAGGGAAAATCAGATCCTTGTGGTGCTGTTCATATTACTATCGGAGATGGAGGCAACAGAGAAGGTTTAGCTCAAAAGTATGTCTTCTTCCGTGGAATTTTATTTCCATAGATCAAACTGCTTAAAATTTAGATTCTAGATGTTCAAATCGAATAGCATGCTTTTATCTTGTGTGTTCTAATGATGTTGAGCATAAAATTGAGCTTACCTTGAATGAGTAGTGAAACTTGAAGCAAATTATAGTGGGATATGATTTCTCATTAAATATATTTACAGGTATGTACACCCGAAACCCGAGTGGTCAGTGTTCCGTGAAGCGAGCTTTGGTCATGGTGAGCTCAAGATAGTGAATTCAACCCATGCATTTTGGAGCTGGCATCGGAATGATGACGATGAACCAATGAGGTCTGATCAGGTTTGGATAACCTCTCTCATCGGTTCTGAATGTCTGGCAGAATAGACTTATGAATCAAGGAAAATTCTCTCTTCTCCCTAAACTTAAAAGACGGCAATCAGTGTCCCTAGACTAAATAGTTTGATGTCTGTGTATATATCCTAAACTAAATGGTTTAGTTGATCAAGTCGTTTTGGATAAGATAATTTGTTCCCTATGTGTGCGCCAAAAAGTTTCTCTGATAGGCCATGTAGTTCTACTTTTTATCATTTAAGCACCCTATCCCGGAACCATATTTGTGCAATCAAGTTCTTCAGCCTTTTATTTTTCCATTTAAGAAAAAGCCAGCAATTTTATCTATTGTTCATGTATTCTTAACATTTTTATTCAAGACCGGAAACATGGAGGAATGGTAATCAGAGTGGCGCAGTGAAAGCGTGGTGGGCCCATAACCCACAGGTCTTAGGATCGAAACCTGGCTCTGATAATTGAGTTTGTTTTTGTACTGGACAACCTTAGTTCACATTAATGAAAGTAAAAGAACATATAATGCAAGAGTAAAATAGGGACTGAAAGAAGGAACCTTCTAAAAACCTGATGATCAGGATCAATGGAAGAATCGGCACAAACATCACAGACAACACTACCATGAATCTCACCAGTCCATGATTTAAGATTTTAATAAAGGACAGCAAAGAAAACAAAACTCAGAACCAGATTATTGTGTTCTTTGATTCCATGTTATGTGGTGTTGTCCGAGACTTTCGCCGGACCTAACACTGACAAAAAATAAATGTTCTATAAGACGTTGGCCATTTGGGAAAGCAAACCATTTTTTCTTGGACTCAAAACCCCTAACCAGCCCATCGTATCAGAAAATATCTGAAGTTTTCTTTATTGTAATTGTATCATATATGAAGGACAAACCAGACAATTCAGTTGTCAGCTCGTCCTATAAATTAACTAGAAGTTCATCATCATGCACGAAATTCAGTATTTTTTTCATTTTTAAGTACGAATTCTCCAAATCCTACGTATATTCATATTTTTTTGTTTGTTTGGAATTTCTCTTCTGTATTCTTTTGTAAATTCAAAGTTAACTCTTTTTTTTTTGCATCCCGATGGCGCTGGCTATTCATCATGTTAAAAGTAGTCTGATTTGTTGATGATAATTGCCTGAGGGATTCTCATGATGGTTTATATTTCTGGGTTTTCCTTCTTTTATATACTTTTATAATCCCTATGATGATCTTTTTATTTTATTTTAAAAAGTTGATAGGCCTGACTTCAATCTGAAGAATATATAATTTTGAGGGACACAATCTTTTTTTTAAATCTAATATTTTATTGTGATGTTTTATAGATTATTTGTGTTTTCTTGCTTAGATTAAATGCTTCTGACAACTGATGTTCTTGCGGTGGGTGACGATAAATACATGTATTGAGGGATGCAGAAGTTTTCTTCTTGGACTTGCTATTTTGTTCATCCTTGAACTCTTCTTTGTTAACATTAATTAGAGATGTTTGTAGTTTAATCTTTTGATATTGTGCTATCAATCCAGGCTAAATGTTTTTGCACACTAGCAAGGGTCTGATTTCCTTGTTAGCAATAAGGTTTGGCTTTAATGATTTGCATCCCAATGATGATCGATATGGATTGTTAGAAGTAGTGCATGATCGGTTGATGATAAATACATGCTGAAGGATGTACTTATTTGAGCTATTATTATTCGTTGTTGAATGCTTGCCCTTTTTTTGTCAATATTAACTAGCGATTTATAGTTAATGAGAAGAGTCGTTACCATTACAGATGGAGAAAAGAAAAGCCCACAACTTCCTTTTGTGAAAATGCAGCGAATTTCAAACAACAGGGCATCCTTTGGACACAATCCCTGGAGCCGTGGGACAATGTGTCAACTTGGGATGTTCGGTGGCTTCGAGAGCTTAGGATTGAAGGGTTAAGTGAAGGATCACAGCTTTTGCTAGTGGCATGGTCTGTGTTGCTCCGAGGATCATCTGGATATGTATTAAGCTGGTCCATTTCTTCTCCGAGAATTTGTATGATAATCACCATATTGGAACTGGGGAAAACAAGCCTATAAGAAAAAAAAACAGTTCATCCATGCGTGGTTGCCGTATTGGACTTGATAGCTACCAGACTTAAAGCTCGGGTTTCCAAGATCGAAAGAATAGTTTCTGAGCTGAAAGCAGCACAAGAAACCCAACCAAAGTACAGCTACTCTAAACATTGCCATAGCTTACCTATTGACTATATGTTTTCGCATAGAAGATTGGTGTGTACATGCGCATGTATATGACTAAACATGGTTAATTTGCACAAATAGTATTTGGAAAGCGTATTATCAGCTTCTACCATTGGCCACATTAAATAAAACTTCCTTATCTCAATTTAGTTCATACAAATCACGTTCCTCGATCGAGATTGGGTTGAAAATGTACCAATGGCTCTCTATTTTATTGGATTGAGATGCCTCTGCAACTCTTTGATTCAATGAAAGTTCATGTGTTTTGTTTCCGAAACAGAAAAGGTTCCTCGATCAAATTTCACATTATGTCCATTAGCAGCACTAGTGGTGTTACTAAAATGGAATATAATGTTTGATAACTGTATTAGCAAGAGTCCTTTCAAGAAATCTTCTGCACTGCTCCACGGTACTCGAGCATGATTAAGGCAGAAATGAATTAGTTGTTCGGATTTTCCGCAATTTCCAGCATATGTAAAATGGAAGTACATTTACAGTTATATCAGAGACCACTATCATACATGAGATACAAAAACGTACAAGTAGCCATTTGATGTTTTTTTCTTTCACTTAACATTCACTTCATTAAAAAAGACTTATCGAGCTAAAGTAACATATCATGAAGTTTGCAAAAACAACACAGGATTCCAAAACCAAAACCAGCAGATTTACTTTTCAAACTGTTGCAGCTCGATTTTCCAGGCCGCTGCCAATTGTAATAGAAGTTGGTCAGGTGCTGAACCTTCCCAATTCTCTGGTGAATCCATCGTGGAAGCTGCCTCATGTAAATTCAACAGAAGCTCTTTCTTCAACTCCATAGGAATGGCCAATGCATCAGGTCCATTTTCTAACACCACTTCAACCAGCTGAAAATTTACCGGAGAAATAGAAATTAATAGGGAAGTTACAAAAGAAAATGTCTAAATAGAACAGCTTGAAGAAAAAGCATAAAAAATGAAGAGCTCATACCTGCTGAATCCAGGATAGACAGATATCAAACAATCTTGCTCCATAAGAAATTGCACAATAGCATGCAATGCTTCATTTGCTATCTCATTTGATAGCTGGTCAACCATAGGGCCTGATCTATCCATTAGCTTTATAAGCAAGAGATCATCCCCTGTAGAGAGAACTTCGCCATAGGCAGAATCCATATCACCTAGTTGAAGGGCATGCATTGCATTGCTCCAAGAAGTCCAGACAGGATCTCGCTGCGGTCCTACGTTATCATCACTAGCAGCTTCAGCAGTCAATTCAGGAACATGACCTGAATGAGATGTTACACCATCCTCCCCAGCTACGCGAATTGCTTCCAAGGTAGCTTCATCCTTTGATGCTTGCCAGACACTTCGAGCAGAAGGCCCTTCACCAAGCCTTGCAGGCCCAGGACCCTTGTCCCAACCTCTCCTACCACCAAACTGATCACTCTCATGTTCAGATTTGGGTGATCCACTATCCCTGTGACTGCTAGCTGGGGCTCTTCTAGATACAACTTGTCCATTTCTGGAAGCACCAAATGCAAGGAAATCCCCATCATCAGGCATTTCAGATCTCCAAGGTCCCCTCCCCCTCACACCTGGGGCAATTCCATCAGGTTGGGCAAATCTTTCAACAAATGAAATTCGCCCACTGAACTTGGAACCATAGTCAGAAAAACCATTATACTTCCCTAAAGGTCCATTATAAGATCCTTCAAATGCTGACATAAAGTTACCACCTCTCCTGCCTGATGATATTGACAAATCCCTAGCCATGTCTTCAACGATTCTCTCAAGACCCCTAACTCTGTTCTCCAAAGTTACCATACTATCATGAGAACCACCCATAAAATCCTGCAACATAACAAGGAATCTTACGATTCATAAGAGCACTTTTTTGAAGCATGTATAAATGTGTAGCTGAGAAATACCTGCAACATGTTCATGAGATGCCCTTGCTGTCTCTCCAGCTGAGCTAACTGCCTCTGGATAGCCAACCAACTTCCTTTGTTGCCAATAAAGGACCCTTCAGACTGTCCATCCACTTTCGAGAAACTCGAACGATTTCCAGATGGCCCTCTTTGATTTACATCTATCCTGTCATCAGCATCAGTTGTCATTTTTCTTAGGTCATTTCCGTTTACCTTCTCTTCAGGCCATTTATCCCGCATACCAGCAGATCCTCTCTCTATGTTACGGTTTTTGCTGCTGGAAGATGCATGAAAATCATCTGTCTGGCTGTTTCCCACACCACTCAACCTCCTTTTCGCACCTGGATCATTTGATTTGGACTCTTCCTCACTCAAGTTTGAAGAATTAAGATATCTACGAGGAACAACTACTTCAACCGGCAAATCATCAGAACCCCTTGTTTCAAGTTTCTGAAAGAATTCAGGATTCAATTCTCTGTCTGTAAATGCAGGTGCTTTCTTCTTTAAGATTACAACTGCTTTATCAATAATACTTCCACCTTTGCCTTCGGAAACAGAATCTGAAGCAAGTGTTTTTTTATCAATCGCACTTGGAATTTTAGTGCCATTCTTTTCTGATGATTCAGCTGATTGAGAATTGTCACCATCTACATCATTAATTGAAACAAATTTAATCCAATAAGAGAAATAGTCTGACAAATCAAGACTATTCGTAAAACTTTAAAGCACATAACTAACATGCTTACCACGAGACAAGGCTTTCTGGTCATCTGCAGCTCCCTCTTCCCCTTCTCCTGCAATTTTCTTCCATAATTGCAATGCTTCGGTCATGCTATCTCTCACAGGTTTCATCTGTTCAACAAATGTTTAAATGTTACAACAGAATAAAGTTCCAATGAAGCAGTGTTGAGTAATGTACATCCATCATATCTGCACCATATGAGAGATGTATTGAATGTTAAAAGCTGAAAAGCAACATCGTTTAGATGACCTCAATCTTTGTCTTCCAGAATCATAATGCACCAACTAAAAGTACCTTCAACCATCAGCCCTAAACACTTTGTCACACAATTAAATCTAGGAATTCTAATTATTTCAAGTTCCCAAAAAAAAAGTATCAAAATTTACTAAACAAACCATACATTAAAAAAGCATTACATAAAAGAGAAATGGCCAGAAAGCTACCCTATCAAAGCGGAAACCCTCGAGTACAGTTATCGTAGAAGACGCTCTATCTGCAATCAAGTTGCTTGAATGCAGTGCCAAGGCACTTAAAGCATCAGCAGCTGCCTTCCGCGTCGCCCAATCAGTGTTCCCAAGGCATTCATGGATGCTTAGCAGCAAAGCTTCCAAGCTTTGAGGTGGAATTGCTCCCACCTGCAACAAGGTCACCATAATTTTTCAGAACTTCAATTTGTTCTTATTTGTGGAATTCTCTATGCCTATTCCTCACCTAGCTACCTAATTCGCACGATCAAATATATATATAAAAGAAAAAGAGATGCAGTATCAACCAGATAAACAAGCACAAAGTAAGCAATTAAGAAAGTAAGAGATTTTCATTTAGTAACATCCACACACCTAACAATATTAATCATCAATATCCCCCATGAATTGAACACTGTACATGGTTAGAAACTTAGAATCAAGCTAAAAACAACAGCAATACACAAACCTGTGACAAACATGTCACTACCGCCAAAAGAGAAGCCTTAGCCATAAAATTCTGATTATTCAACAGCTTGCGGATCCTTGGACACAATTTCTGAAAAGCAGCCAAAGGAGGATCAGATGCACATTCCACCACCTTAGCCATACAGGTTGCTGCACCAGATTGAACTCCTTTGTCCTGCTCTCCCATTGCTTCAAACAATGGCTTTACAAACAATCCCACAGTATCCCCTCCACTCTCCCCTTTCAAATACTGGGCTGAAAGCGCCCCTATCGACTCGCAACATGCATCTCTTACCCCAGAGTCAGCATCTTTCAGCCTTTTAACAATGTGGGCAATGATTTTAGTCAAATGGGAAGTTGCCAATTCACCATGGCAATTACATAGCACTGAAAGCAGCCTCAAAGATTCTTTCTTTACAGCTTGTTTTGGATCATTTGAAGAATCAAATAGACAATTGAGTAACATGGGAAGGTTCTCGGGGGAAAGAGATTGGATGGTCTTTTCTAGATCTTCAACAGCAATTTGGTAAGTATCACGATCAGAGAGCTTGGAAAGTGAGGTTAAAATCCTTTGCTTTAGCTCTACCATTGCAAGGTGGGATGAAACTGAGTGGGATGAAACTGAGGGTTTAAGAGGGTTTGAAGGAGGAGGTAAAGTTGAAACCTTTGAAGGTCTTGTTGATTTGGGTGCTTGAGAATTACTCATTTTCATAAGTGAGAAAAAAATGGGTTATCAAAGAAATGAGATTTCAAAGATTGAACAAAGGGGTAAAAGGATGGGATCTTGAGGAAATGGGATTTTACAGATCAAACAAGAAGAAAAGAGAAGGGATTTGTTGGAAATGGGGTTATAGAGATTGGAACAAAGTGCGAAAATGGATTGGATTTTGAAGATTTTGCTTACATCGAAAAAAATAATTAAGGAAGAGATTTGAGAATTAGAGGAGAGCAAGGGCAATGTGACATAGGAGACACGAAGGTGAGATCTGAGGAGCGTGACGGAAAACAAAGATATTATTTTCTATTTTTCTTCCAGGATTTGGTGAAAAAGAGGATAAAAGGACCATCGAGAATTTAAATTTGATAGAACGTCTTACTTTCGTTTTTGGAGGGTAGGGGGTGTTAGGGTTTGAGCTGATGTCTGATGAGAAGATCATTAGCCATTGATTTTGATTGGTCGATTTTTAACAAGTCAACGTTAGTAGGTTGCTATTACCTGCCTATCATCTTTTCATATAATTAAAATACAATTATGAAATAATAAAATATATATCCTTATTTGATATACTAATGATAAATATTAATTAAAGACAAATAATAATCTTAAATGCAATACAAATATATGAATTATCATATCAATATTTATTACTTACCCTCAAGAGATTAATATATATAATATATATATATCTGAATTTTATAAGGCTTCTGTTTTTAGAAACAGTTGAGACTTGCTAGTTGGTTGTTTCGAGTTTTTTCTGAAATTGTTGAAACTTGCATTTCTCTGGTGAATTACCTCTTACGTTTGTTTTTAAAATGATTCTTCTATAAAATGAAAAAGAAAGATCACAGCTTTGATTTACAATATAAGAACATGTGTTATTTAAGAATGAAGTAGGAAGCCTTAACTAGCGACTACATAAGATTAATGTGTCATATCACCGTAAATTTAGGGTAATTCCCTTTTCTATATATACGTCTATACATAGTATTTATTTTTAAGTTTGATATATTTAATAATTTATGATGTTCCCTGGTGAGTAACTGCTTATCGGTATCATGCAAGAGAATATATGTAACAGTGTTGCCTACCGACCAACTTAATGTAATAGTCAATCTAAGTGAAAATTTTATGTACTGAAACATGGAATAGGTTGTAATGTGGCATATTAGCATTACATGGATCAGTATACACACTGTGTCACAAATTGCTCAAAACATTTTACAAATCAAAACCTGCAAAAGTGTAAAAACACCCCAGAATCTTAACTGTGACGGTTTTAATGTCCAGAGTTTTCGTCTTCCTCTGTTTCTGAAAGGAGAAGCTCCGCCTGGTTTCTAATTTTTCACTTTAAGCTTCAGCATAGAATACTCTTTTCTTGAATAAATTGTCTGGGATACAAGCGATATCATATACAGCTTGTCAAAAGCTCATTGATGTCGGGAAATGCATTTATTGGACAGCTGAAAACAACCAACAAAGACTTAGAAGTTCCACCGGTCCAACTGCCGTTTGGCTTCTACCATATCTTTCTATGCTTTCTTCCTTCGGTAAAATATTGGACAATCCCGGCTGCAAACATGAATAAACATAGTTTTTAACTAAAATAAAGAAGAAAGGATGAAGCAACAAAATGCCATCACTTAGTCTAAGCAAGCAGCCTGTCATTCCCTTTATTTTCCAAATAAAACACATTATTTGCATGGTTCTACGTTCGAATTTGTATGTAAGCACTACATTAAAGCATTGCAAGACCTTTACCACGCATTTTCTTGGGGGGGGGGGGAGTCCAACTAAAACAGCAATAACATTATTCATCATAAGTCACAGAGAGAGGAGTGTAAAACCAAGTGCAGAGCACATCCTGGTGAAGAGAACCTTGACATTCTTGGCACTGTGTCCATAGCCTCCCGAAAAGCTCCTCTAGTTCAGACACTGCAGTTATTTCATACAACATAATGTCAAAAGACCTTTGGTTACTCCAGTGCTAGAAATTGATATTTTGCATCAGAAAAACAGTAAGGGAAGATATGCACACCTTGAGAAACTGTTTTATAGTAATGTTCTGCCTCTCTTCCCTTGCAGTGTAAACAGAGAGTTTGATCTGCATTGCTGAGGGTAAAACAAAATTGGTATTATACAAGAAAGATATGCCATGTATTTGCATGCTTGTGCAGTGATCAATATGTAGGCAGCCTCCATAAAATTATTGTAGATAATTCCAAGAATTTTTACATCTATGTACCCACAATTCACATTTTGTATTTGAAGGATATTCTTGGTTCAATTAAGTTTCAGAAAGGAAGTATAGGTGCCTGTGTGTGCATATGTGAAAGAGAGTGGGAGTGAGGAAAATAATGAAGCCAAACTAACCTAGTGTCATTTTATGAAGCACAGTCATAAGAATTGAGACCCCTTGGTTACCTTCAATTTCTTTCAAGAAAATGCTAAAAGTTACTAGTACATTATATATAAAACATACAAGCATGTAGATTCATACCTAATTAGCGCTTTGCAGCCAATACAACTAAGTTGTTTCTTTGCAAATTTCATTATCCCACTGTTTGACGGAGTTGATATGGAAATGGATCTTGTGTGACTTCCATGGAGAAGTTCCTTGCTAGCATTCTTTAAAATGGGCTCAAAAATTCTTAAAAGTGGCTGTTATATCAACAGAATTTTTTTTAAAAAGGAAAAAGTTTGTTATAAACTAAAATGAAAACTATCAAACCATTCAACTAACCTTGCTAATTTGGTTCTCAAGATAATATTGAGGATCTATGGGGATGTTATTTTCTAGCACATAGATGGGGTCCTCTGACCTCTCATAAGCCTGAATACATGGACAACATTTGATAACAGGATATAAACAATACAATCATTTGCAATAGAAGAGCGCTTTTCTGTGAAAATATCACCAACAAGATTACCTTTGCACCTTTTGCAGCTTTTATAATGACATATGGCACCCGATCCCCAACATTTGGAGCAGTAGCAGCATCTCGCTGTCAATTATTGATAAAAAGTTCATCCCAATGCTCTAATACCAATCGACACTTCAAATGGGCTACCTTACAAATAAACCACTACTACTGGCATCTAGTATAGGCAACAGTACATTATCTCATTTAGAAAATGAAAAATAGCACCATTTGTTATTGCATCTAACAATTATCTAGCAATTAATGATAACATGCAAACTCAGCATAAAATTTACAGTATGTGCATGCAATATTTGAGTGTTTAACAAGTATCTGAAGAAATTAACAAGTCACCCAGAAAACAATGCCACCATCATATCCAAGTACTATAATGATGTTCCTCAAACGTATATGTAGAATGCGGAAATAACAAGAAAATGCATAACACGAACCTTGCGCATGCGTTCAGCAAGTTCAACATGAGCAGCTTTTACCTCATAATCATCTCCAGTTTTTGTCAGACCCTGTACATAGGAGCAGGAATAAAGCTAAATAAAGGCCGACAAAAATTTACACCAAGCATTACAAAAACTTCGGTGACTAAAGTACCAACAAACGAGGAATAAAGGATATTTTTCTCACCTTAGTAATAACGAAAAGTGACAAATCCATTCGATTCATGAGAAGATCTGAAATGGTATTCTTGACATACTGAACTGCACCAGGAATATCCCTATCAATCATATTTTGTGCAGGCATTCATTTACAAGGTTTTTGACCAATAAACAATTGTCTCTTCGAACGGTTTCAATGCCTGTTCATGATGAAAGAATAATTAGCATTCAAGTTCAATAAACTTTCAGAAGCTCACATGGTTGAGAAATATCTTGTTTACCTTTAGTGTCCATTTTGTCATACTTCTTTGGATTAGTCCAAAATAAACCAGCATATCTTTTCTTGCTAATCAATAGATAGGGATAATAAACCTTCTCGAACTCTAGTTTGATGGGCTAAAAACATCAAGCCATTTTAGAAAGAGGGAAAAGCAACAACAAATGAAGAGAATATTAATAAACGGATAAACCAATAATAAAATAGAGGTTGACAAAAGCATAAAGATTAACTTTCAAGTGATAGTTTTCTATTTCATTGAATGAGATCTGTAGCATCCATGGTCTGAAAGGTAACTTCCAAGATGCATCAAAATTCAAGATTCCAACTGACCAGAATTTTTTAATCAAGTTAACAAATTAAGCCTCAGACAGTTGCAGAAACTTGGCCAGCCCAGGCTTACTTCAATTTTTTTTTTTTTTGAAAAGGAAGAAGATGAGACACTATTTACTAAAAAACGTCTTACTTTTGTAGAAGTTCCACTGATGTGTTCAGCAGCTTCTCTCCCCAAGTTCATTGCTGCTTCTACATCAGATACACCAAATTGTACCATCACCGAATCTGTGTCCCCATAAATAACCTGATTATGAAATATCGTTGTTAATACAATATTCAAGACATGTGAAGCAAGACCATCAAGCAACTATAAGCACACACATGCAAGCCCAAATATTGTTTCATTCTAATCTCCTTGGTCAGAAGAGAAAGTGAAACTTCCAAAAACCGGGTAATACAAAGCAGCCTTAACTTTGGGAAGTTGAAGTAGATGACATAGGAAAGGAAATAGGATCCATGGTATGATGAATACATCAGAAACTTAAAAAGATAAGAAAAACTGAGATTCCAGCAACCTTAAATCAAATGCTTAACCCCATCTCAGTTCATTTTGATTAGTATATTGAATCAAGTTCATGACATTACATATAAGCCTTCAATAGTAAAAATTATAACTAAAGCTTTCGGGATGACTTACCTCAGCATTGTGTTCATAGCCTCCTAGCACAGTAAATTTATCTTCAACAAGCTTCTTGGTATGCTCAATCATTTGTCGACCTTCATAAGGTAATCAACATGTTAGTTCAAACAAAACTAGAATAATGCATTTTAAATTATTTATAGAGAAGGAAAAAGCATTGCTTTTAATAAGATCATTCTGTTGTACCATAGCTTGTAACACTTGAAGAGATCTCTAAACATGGTAACTGACCAACAGTAGCTCCTGTAAATCCATATACAGAATTCGCACTTACTTGAAACAAATAATAATCAAACAAAGCAATCAAAAGCATATAAGGAAACATTTAACTGAACTCCTGAATGCAAAAATTACCATCTGAAAATGAGGAGAAAAAAGTGATGATCCTACCTTCAAGGCCAGCTGCCATCTAAAACAGCTTTCTCAAGTGGATCCTTTGCTTCCTAGATTCATATAAAGAATATGAGTAAAAGAATGGAGGGAAATAAGCAATCAACGAAGAAGAGGGTATTTTGATATCACAATATAAATCCAATAGCAACAGGGAGCAGAACTGTACAATTAAAATAAAATTATTGTAATCACC